CATCCACACCGACACTCACATCCACCCCCATCCCCAAACCGGCACCCTACACCCACACCCACCCACACCCACACCCCACACCCTCTCATTGGAGGACGAAATTGCGTACGGTAGTTAGAATGACGGTGCAAATCCTATCAGAATACAGTAATAGCAATAGTTTTAATCATTTCAATAATTTCAAGAATTTGAATGGTTAATAATTATTGAAACTTGATCACATCTCGAGAGATCATACTTGCATAGAGGTTGTAGATGTATGTAATATTCTTTCAGATTGAAAATCTTCACAATGAGAATCACAACGATGAAAATTTCGAAAGTTGGCTGTTGCTGATAATTATAGTCAAAGGAAGAGATCCATACCCTTATCGGTCATTTTTCTTAAAATGTTAAATGATAAAATGATTCCCTTCCTTCACTCATGTTTTTCTTCAAATTAATAGATTAGTTGTTCATATATACTCTGTAAATCCTATCGTATCATGATTGTCGTAAAACAAATCAACATGATAGTCTCAACAATAAAAATCTTTTATTTTCGATAAATGATTTTTTCTTTTCTAGTACGTTACCTATACTAAGTATAAATCCATAAAACTAAATCATCAATTTTTATATATAGAGTTATGCACGTGATATAAGTTTGACTTTGAGTGCATTATCAGAACGAAGAATTATTTGTTCAGTTGGTACAAAATCTTTATAAGTTTGACTTGTTGTTAGATGAAATCGACGAATTATTGCTGAAAGAAACACTTTTTCTTCAAGCAAAGCAAAACGTTGACCTTTCATAACAAGAATAAAATTAATATAAATACGATTTTTTTTCGAATTTCCCGACATACCAATACAATTTCGTGGACCAGCAGAAAATGGAATATATGCATAAGGATGTCGTTGTTGAGTTAGTTCAGGTAAAAATCGATCAGGATCAAATTTTTCTGGTTCAGGAAAATATTGTGGATCACGATGAATTTCATAGATAAAGATTACAGCTGTTGTACCTTTCAAAAATGTTTTACCATCTAAATAGAGAATGATTGAAAAGAAAATGATTTAAAGAAAAGTAGACCATATTGAAAAGTTTCTTGAATTTCTCGTCCAATTATAGGAACGGATGGTAGAAGTCGTAATGTTTCTTTAATAACACATTCAAGATAATTCATTTGTTGAACATCATCAAATGTACATGCACGTTCATTATCATTTTCTGAATATATCAAATAATATACGTATATCATAAAACTCCATCGAAAGATTTACCAAATATGCTTTGAATTTCTTCAAATAAACGTTGTTGAATATCCTGATGAAGTGCAATCATAAATAAAGTAAAATTAAGTGCAGTTGCTGTTGTATCATGTCCCTAAAATTCATCCAAATCATAATCGAAGAATATATATCAAGAATTTACTCTAAACATTAATGTATCGACTTCTTCTTGTACATCATCAATTGACATTTGTTCATCATTCATTTTTGCAATAAGTGTATCGAGAAATGCCATTCGATGTCGAACATCAATCGACGAAAAGTTAGCAATACGATCTTCGACTACCTAAAAAAAAAGGAGATTTTTAGTGTACTCAAAAAGTGAGTACACTATAGAATAGTCAGTGTGTCCGTCCGTCCGGTTGGCTGTTTACATGATAAATTTTGACAGCAGAGTCAGATTGCAATGAAACTTTCTATACAGCTTAGTCTTGACAATGTCTCGGTCGAGTTCGAAGATGAGAAGG